TCAATTGAATCGGAAATCTTGTACAATTATTACAGAAAATACCAAAATGAACTACATTTTCTCTTACAGAAAACATCATAACAAACTGTTTTTCTCTTACAAAAAACACCATTATAAACTCTGTTTTCTCTTACAAAAAACACTATAACAAATTGTGTTTTCTCTTTAAAAAAAACATAATAAATTGTGTTTTCTCTTATAAAAACACCGTAACAAATTGTGTTTTCTCTTACAAAAAACACCGTAACAAACTGTGTTTTCTCTTACAAAAAACACCATAACAAACTGTTTTTCTCTTACAAAAAACACCATTATAAACTCTGTTTTCTCTTACAAAAACACTATAACAAATTGTGTTTTCTCTTTAAAAACACCGTAACAAACTGTGTTTTCTCTTACAAAAAACACCATAACAAACTGTGTTTTCTCTCAAACGTAATGTGAAGCCTTTATCCTTCCATGAAAATTCTCTCATTAGTATTGTATCTTCAAGTAATACTTTCAAGTCAGATATTAAAGCAGTTAACTTCATAATTCTAGGTATTAGTATTCAGATAAAATGCTGTTGTGTTCTTTGTGAAATTGGCCCATTTGTGTTATACAACACCCGTCAATGAATTTCTGTAATATCCATAGATATGTGCAACGCTATACACATAAGCTTATGTATACACGTATATTGCTATATTTATACATAAAATAACATTACACGTCATCACATACACTTGTAGCTAATTATAGTCTGTCTCAGGCTCACTCTCAGCCTTTGGAAATCTTATATGTCACAACTGTCTTATTATAACACCCCAACAGCTGAAAGGGCGATCATGTTCGGTGATGGGATTCGAATACACGACCTGTATATTGCGAGGTGAGTGCCCTAACCACAAGGCCATGTCAAGCCTTTCTTATGAGAATACGTTACTATTCAAAGAAAGGACTTAAACACACTTACCAAACTGAGGACTTGAGACAGATGGAGCTAACTGAGAGAACATACTGTTATTATTCTCAGGTGCGTGTGCAACCCGCATGACTGTTAGTCGTTCTTATAGAAATATAATGGAGGTTAAATCCTCGAGATATCACTTGACCTACCAGTGGGAAAGTTCTCTGTCCATTTTCACGAAGTATGTACAACTGTGCAAGAAACTTTCATGCAGGAAGACAAATATTATAATTTAAGTGAATGATACAGAATTATAGGTAGCTAGAGGGAAAGGAATTTCACAACTTTTATTACCAACGTGCTTGTAACTAACAGAAACACTTGCCAACATGATTGAGAATGACTTTGAGGTATTCAGGTACACTGTTATCAAACAGGTAGCCAAAATTATCCGTTAAATGCAAGCTCAAAAAATGTTATGTAGAGAATAATTTCAGCACGAATAACACAAGTAAAACACATTACTGTAATGTTTAACACAAAACTCGCAAGCTACTTGCATTTGCTATGACTTCTCATTGGCTGTTTAAGTGAGAGAGGTAATTTCAAATAATATATTCAAGGGAAAAAGCCCTTTCCGTCATGATGATAATAGATGTAAGTACCTCTTACCACTAAATCTAGTAAACTTCTTAAGTAATCTGTGGACACATATTAATTAACAAAATTGTATGTTGACAATGAACAAAAAAAGTGAGGTTTATATCAGAAAAATCGACGTTAGACTTTCATGGACATGGTTGAAAAGAGTCACTCGCGTGTGCGAATGAACTATTGCTACCCTATTGCTGTGACTGCATGATGTAAGAACGGGTTTTTCTAGGAACTTGACTATATTCTACTGAAGAATTAATGTGGGCTTCATCCAACACTCAAGGACCAAATCAATAGCCAAAGAGGGAGATAGAGTTCCAGGTGTATCTGATCCTCCCAGGTCACATGATCAAATGAAACAGCACCCTTTCCCAACATACCCAACTGTGCCCCCCCCCCCCGAAATGGTTGTAGCAAGTTCTAGGGAATGTATACGGAAACATAGTCAAATTAGCATAAGCTTACATAAGAACGTAGTTGCTCGTATGTAGCCTAGATAAGCAAAAATATTAGTACCTGTTTGGATCTTTCGACAGTCGATTTACAAGGATGTTATTAACTACGTAATGACCACGTACACGAAAATTGAGAGAAATAATTAAAATATACTTTACTAAACATATATGCTAAACTAGTTTTGGAAGGTTGAAATTATCAATTATTCCACGATCTGTGAAAGCCTCACAATTATGGGTACCATTCGAGTTTTTCTGTTATTTTGTGTGGAGTTGTAATGACTGAAATAATTACGAATTTCACCATTCCATATCTGGTATAGAATAAATCGTTATTCAAATATATATATATTTCTACATGTCCATGCAGTTTCTGCATTTAGTTAGGACATTTTCAATGACTGGATATCTTAAGGTCATAAACATGTGCTAATCCTTTAACACAGGTGAAGGCTACATACAGCAACCTATGTTTGAGTCTGAAGTTAGCGTGTATGTGTTTCTGTGAGGTCTTCTTCGAAGGTAGTCTATTCAAAAGGCAATACAGAAATCTATACGCCTATCTTGGCTTAAGATTGCATGTAGACCGTTGGTTGAAGTATGCAACCTGTGAATTATGGGATACTTGACTTTCTTAGTTTTTTTTTGTTAATATTTCTAAAGCTCTGTCTACCGAGTTTGTTCTTCCTCTTTATTTCTATTGCTCATCGTTTCTTCTTTTGCAGCCCTCAACCCCAGCAGCCAGATTTGTACAATATGTGAGTTAAACTACTATTTTAGCGTGGACTTAATCCAACGATTACTACGCTAATAGTTACGTAACTAAATAAGTCTAGGTATGGTTAAATTTGTGGGTACGTTCATTTATGCACGATCAGCTTCATCTCTAGATATAAATCAGCTTCAAAAACTGTTTCTATTTATTCATAAGTTTTATAAAAATCAGTGAGAGAAAGCAACCTTTTTTTTATATACAGAAGTGGAAATAATTATGGAAACGCACAGGTGATACACATATCGGAATCACGAATCCTTTCTCACGTTCTTTCTCTGCCCTATCTTTCCTTTTTGTTTTCATTTTCTTCGTGTCAGCCATCGATGCAGTAATTTGCTTCCTACAGACATATATGTTAAGTATATAAATAGGGTAAAATAAATACTTTTAGGTTTTAAATTATAACACTCAAAATAGCCTCATTATATTTTTGAAGTAAAATGTGAGGTTACTTTTAAAACTAAATGCTCAGAATTGCCAAATTTATCGAAGTTGAGGAAGGGATAATTATATAATCTACCGTAAGTCAATGAATCAAAAACCCCTGCATAAAAATCTTTCAAAACTTTCAGCCTAGAAAAAGCCTGTTACGATTAGGACCCAACCTAAATTTAGGCATCCCGGTACTTTGCAAATAAAAACAAATGTTCCTTTTTTTTATATTTTAATAGAATTTTAGTACTAACCTCATACAAATATCGAATTCTGGCTCTGAAATATTAAGAAGGCACCTACTAATAATTAATAATTAACCTTGCACGATTGAAATTCGTAAGATAACTCAGAAGCCGTTTCCGTTTGATTAATCAGAGTTGGGATGAACTATACGTACCCTAACGTAGACTTAACTGTGAAATAATAGTTTGATTCTAGTGAACAGTTATGCCATTTCTCACAATAAAAGGGTATAGAGACACATATAAGCTTAGCGCTTGCACGGCCACACATCAATCCGTAAGTATCGGGTACCTTATTATTTGGCCCCACCGGCCCAGTGGCTCTCCAGCCCAACTGGAAAATTCCCGAAATCCCGATAGCCCAGTCCGTCACTGCCTCCAACACTTTATCAAATTAAGTTTGGAAACAAATCGCCTTTAGAGAATAGAGCGACGAGTTTTAACCATAGCTGAGCATTAAAACATAATCCACAATTAATGAGTGCGATAAATACGATATTTCAAACAATAGACTCAGTTGGTCCTTTCAAAGAGAAAGAAAAAATAATAATGAAAGATGGAGCTCACTTCCCAAAAATGTACACAGTATTAGTCGGATGAATTATGCCTTATATTATACCAAGTTATTATTGCTAACAACTAGTTATCGAACATTACTAACTGTTTATATTTTGTATTGATAATACACTTAACATATACTTCATCTGGTCACTATGGTTCAGCAATGTTTTTTAACCAACACCACTATAGAAGACATGCACATGAGAATTGTGTGAATTACTGATATTTTGTTACATTCATATATGGAACAAATAAAAAGTAAAATAAATCGACAACTCAGGTATCAATTACGAACAATTAATTCTGCAACCTCTGGCTCATTATGGAGTAACTGGAAAATAACAAATAATTCGTTACAAAGATATATGAATGACTGGATGTATAATTGTTTGTTTGCTTGTAATTAGGCACAAAGCTACACAATGGGCTATCTGTGCTCTGCCCACCACGGGTATCGAAACCCGGATCCTAGCGTTGTAAGTCCGCAGACATACCTCTGTGCCATTGGGGGCGTACTTAAAACATCAGCTACACTTTATGCATGACTAAAGAAACATTAAATGCAGCCCCCCCCCCAGTGGCACAGCGGTATGTCTGCGAACTTACAACGCTAGGATCCGGGTTTCGATACCCGTGATGGGCAGAGCACAGATAGCCCATTGTGTACCTTTGTGCTTAATTACAAACAATTACAATCAGCACTTGACAACTAAACTTTGGTAAAATTCTATGTAACTGTATACGTAAATTTTAACGGTGGCTACCATACTTTTCAAACATGGGCTAGGCTTTGTTCAAGAGTACATTAGCTTTTATTAAGCCGTTTTAACAAATAGTATTTTGATTTTGGTTTTATTCAATATATGAAAGAAATGTATGTAATAATTTGACTACAGGTTAAAAATATGACGAAATATTTAAATGGTATAAAGCCAAAGAACGTGAATTATTTTGAAAACTTAATCCAATTTTGTTTTATACTGTTTTAGGCTCGAACGAAGGGGCTAGACGCAATTGAATATTCTATGGTTTTCGGCGCTTATAGTGTGTCCCAAGTAATCTTCAGCGTCATTTCTGGCAAATTTGTAAGTACAGTGACTTTTATTTTACACAATATCGACTGAATGTAGCAAACACCTCAAGTAACCAGTTGTTAACTTACTGACGCGTTACATGTATATCTTACAGTAAAATTATAACTATTTGTAGATTATGTATCGAACAAAATATTCATGATATCAGAAAAACACGTAGGTTCAAGAAACTTGATAGAATATGATAAAAACCTTATAACCTGAGCGCTTTTAAGAGGTGGACCTTTCAAAAGCGCTCGGGTTATACGGTTTTTATCATCTTGTATCGAACGAAATAGTTATCCAAAACTAGCTGGTGGTGTGAAAAGATTGAAAACTGACAAAGAAGATAAAAAAACATCAACTAATGGTTTTTCCATTACTGCGTAAATCTGCTTTGAAGGCATGTGTATTCAGGTGTCATTTTCTTCAGAACCAGACTAAAATATAAAACATAGTAGGTTCTTTCCACCGCTGGTAATAATGGTAATCTTATCAATTCTCGAGGGCAATTTAGAAATTAAAGTATTTAGTTTATGGAAATTAAACCTTTAAAAAGTGAAGGTATATATTTGAGAATAGTTATTATAAAAAAGTTTAACTGAAAATGTTTGTGATATATTTAATATAGAAAAACTCTAAAATGGAAAACGTTCAAAAGTAGTGGAGAAAACTTTGTATTTTTGTAATAAGATCTTTAGCAACTATGTTTTAGTTGGCTATATGTTTTTGCTTTATTTTCATTAAGAAAAATTAATATATTAAATAGAAATTATATTTCTTTTAGCTTACAAAAATTGGATGCAAGTTCATCATTGTTTCAGGATTGTTCCTGACAGGTGGCGCCACAGTCCTTTTTGGGTAAGTTATTTTACATCTAGTTGAACTAAATTCTTGTGTTTCATGAAATCAGAAGTACATTTACTCCTTAAATTATTGCAGTTAAACCTATTTTTGTGAAGAATACAACTTTAATATATTTTCCATCTTTGAATTGATATTGCAATAGTTTTTGGAATTAAGGCTTATACGCTGGATGTGAAAATAATTTGCAAATTATCTATAAATTAAGGAAGTTTCAAAAATCTGTTGTTGTCTTTGTAAATTTACAATAAAAGAAATTGAATTTTAGATTAAATATTTCACTTCTTAGATTCAGGAAGACTAAGTAACTTTTTTTTTTACAGAGTTGGGAAAACCACTTAAAGATAAGATGTTGCCTTTCAAAAATTATTCATAATCTCGTATTTATATAACAAAGAAACACTCTTATTAGCAGGACACAAAATTTAAATAAGGCCATCGTGAATTATAACCTCGTGCTGTTTCTTACCATCTATTTTATCCCATATGTAATTATATATTTAATGTGAGGCCTTTCTCGTATTACTAAGTGGTAGGGTACACATTTTAATCTTTGCTTCAGAAAAACATGGATAGCATTGCCTTTTCCATCAGTAGACACAGTAAGCGTTGATGTTACAGGTTAGAAAATGAAACCCACTTTGTACATAAAGTACCAACTCGATCCTTTTCTGCACTGTGTACATTACCTGCAAAAACTAGATGATAGATTATAATAACCAGTTTGGAAGATTTAATAGCTAAAAAAGACTAACTAGGTGAGGATGAATAAGCAATAAAGTATTTCTAAAACTCATTGATCATGGGAGACAATCAGAAACTTTTAGTTCTTGATAATGTTGAAAATGAGCAAAGTCCAGATATGTTGGGACAACATGAATTTTGTTTTGCCATCATAGATTGAATAAACTAATCACTTTCTGTCTGGAAACGAGATAAGTTGTTCGTAAATTTATGTTACACTCGATGGAATCTATATTTATATATATAAATATATAAAGCACAAACATCTGTGTGTCTGCCTGTTTGTCCTTTATCTAACTACTACTAGGTCACTGCGCGAATCTCAATCAAACTTTGTGGGATGATAGTCTGGAACAAGTGGCATGTTAATGGGGATTCACAACCCCCTCCACCCCATTATTTCTGTTATTGAACGTTTATTATCTTTGACGTAAGTTAACGTTAACTACATTCATATATAGCCGCATTCTTACATCAAACAAAAATACTTTATTAGATTTTCAGCAGTAAGTTTTCGCCCTTACAACGCTAAAATCAGGGGTTTTATTCCCCTTCGTGGACACAGCAGATAGCTCGATATAGTTTTGCTATAAGAAAACGCACACACATTAAATTTGTTATAACACAACATAAACACATGAAAAAATGACCGCCATTATTGCAATAATACACAAACTCAGATGAAGTTGATAGGACAACAGCCATCATAACGCTGATATGAAGTGCCGTTTCTTGAGTTATATTCACTTCCTACTTTGACCCGTGACCTTATAACTTCATCCCATAAAACACTTCTGCGGCCAATGACCGTCAATTAACTAATAACGGGAAACAGTGTGGAAGGACATTAAGAGGTGGTTGTTGAAAGCGGGTAACAGAAAGCACCTCTTCCGCCACTATTTTGACTGCTACCGCTTCGTACAAAGTCACCCTGACCATCTCACAGTGTATACCATTTTTTAAGTATATATGCATTGAGCTTTTAAAGCTTATACGAAATTTTTGGTGAGGTAATAATGAATACTGTAACAATATGTTACATTATAAACAAATTCCGTGAAAGTTTGGATTTTGTGTTATTTATCATAGCATCCACCCCCACCCCCCACGTTTTATAAAGTTCGTAACCCGGACAAAGGACGGTTATCTCAGCTTGTCTGATTTATAAAAGTCAGTTTACTAGCAAATAACTTGAACGATTGAAAAGATTTCTGAACGAATACATAAACGTGAATTTTTGTTGCATTGATGTGACTATTATTTACTTCCAGATGTCTTGAAAAGTCACCAGGAGGAAAAGTATTCCTAATACTTAGTATTTTAATTCGAATGGTAGAGGGCGCCGGTTTTGCTGCTTACCTAACCAGTGTCCTTGCGGTAGTTGTTAAAACATTCCCCGAGAACCCAGGATACTATGTCGTGAGTAATCATTTAATATATCATTATTCTGTAAATTTAGGGACTGAGCTATAAGGTAGGCCCGTTTTGATATCACAAGAGTATGAAGAAATTAATCATAGCAACGGATGATTGAGTATGAATGTGAATGATTAAGCTCCACTTATCATATGGATATTCTACATTTTCCCAATGCTTTTGAAAAAGTTATAACAATTGTCAGTATATATATATATACATATACATATTTTACACTCAGCTTTTCTTATTTTTATTAAGTGAATTGTTAGGTTTAGCGCTGCCCATCACTATTGGCACTGTAAGCCTGCCAACTCACCTCTGAACCCAAAAAAGGGGGGGTTGCTCGATGACACGAATAAATTATGTATTTATGAATTTATGAAAACCAACCGGTAGTTGTATCTAGATTTATTATGGCGACATGTTTTGTATACACCAATATAATGTGGAATCATCCACACTCATACTGCAGCATCCAGAAGTGGACAACCTTCCGATGACGGTTCGTGTATAATGTCAAACCAGGTCCACACTTAGTATTGGCCCATAGAAGGAAAAGTATACTGAGGGTTAAATGCGTTATATGAAAATGATTTTGAATAAGCAAGTCACGTGTAAACCACAGCCGATACAAAGCCACGGTGAAATGAATTGTAATAAGACCACATTTTGACGACTGGATTTTGTAGGTAGAGTGGTGCCATCGAATATTGATCCCTTTTGGGAAAGGCATGTAATAGCATTTTTCGACACAAAATATTCATACACACAGATCATAAAGATGTGTTCAGATCGAGGATTTAATTTCCAAGACGAAGATATCCCTTGTACGTAATACCGCTGTAAAATAAAGGAATATGGATCAACTTGAGGAGGTAGAAAGGGGCTTGCGACAAGTCGTAACTTAGCCGAGGAAAGCAAGGTGCTGCTTCTTTAATATCTGAGAATCAACGAACACAAAGGTTAGTGGCAAATGCTGTTCACATATCTCAGGCCACTTTAAGAAACATAATCATTAAGGATATCCGCCTGAAAAAGCGACATAAGTGACGTGTACATAAGTTGCTTCTACAACATATCCGTTTAACCGTCGCATATCTGAAGCAGCTAGAGAATAAAACGATTATTCATGCTATTTCATGCAATGTCGCCGGACACACTTCTACGGATTTATGTACAATCTGACTGTTGAAATAGGCGCTAGGAAACAGTTGTATTCGTACACTCGATGGGGTGAAGAAAGTCCGGAGAGAGGAGAGGCGTGATATGGACATGACAGTCTTACTACTGAGTTTTTTGCAATGGAAACTACTCTGCAGAGTTAGTTTCAAGAAGCACACGACCGGACGTGGTGACATGGACTGTAACGAATTGAAGAAGCTTCAAAATCATTTTGATATAGCGTGCTCAACCTCTGTATATACTTCTAAAGAGAGGAAACAGTGAATGAAGATTTCACATTTTTTATTCAGTATTCTCCTTTATGCTTATCTACATTTTAGCCATTTAAATTTATGAAATATAAATTAAATAATATTTTAATTAAAATTTCCTATAAATTTGTGGAAAAAAAAGTAAACAGTTTAATTAACATATGAACTACTCTCCACGAAAGTGATTGAGTTGATACTGTAAAACAAAATTAAAAATAAATTGTAGCTTGACAGTGTATTATGTATTTATAATTTCATCTTTAACGGCAACTTATGGGTTAAAAGACTAGGTCAGAGACCCATATAGTTCAGACATAGTTGTCCCTAAATCTGAACTACTGACCAGAGGAAAAACAGACATTTAACAACACCATCATTATAAGGGCTTTGTCTGGCTTTGAACCGAAAAAAGCAGGATTAATTGTCACTCTTATAATGCACTCACAGCTGAAAGTGCAAATAATGTTCAGCGACATCACGGCACGAACCATTGACCTTTCGATACACAACTTGGTTCGCTAACCACTAGGCAACGCTAGGCTCGTATTCTTATAAAATAAAGTACTTAAAAATAAGAAGTTACAATCATTAACAATTACAAAAAATCTAACATTTGATTGAATATCCGCTCATACTTTACACATAAAATCATAGCTATTTCAGAGAATTATATCAATTTATGTCAGGTATAATTAGCCAACAGCTGTTTTCATATCACAAACCAAAGAATACACGCAGATTAAATCTCTGCCACTAAACAATGCAAAAAAGAAAAGCACAAGAAGGATAAAAACAAATCATTGCATTTGCCTGTACTTGACAGTACTTAATTTCTATCAATGATTTTCAGCTATTACAAAACAATTTCTATGGTCATTACACTGTAGGGTGCATGAGGTACGATATGTTGGTACTCGAAGGTGTTTTGGTTTGGATATTTATGCACCATTTTCGTTGGGCATGTAGACATTTTCTTATGCAATAAAGAGCTACCATTCACGTACATTTTCTCACTTTTCCATAAAACTAAATTATTCATTAGTTTAAATAATGAGACTTAGAAAAATACATGAACAAAATCACCTACTAGGTTTTATAGATGGATATATTCTAGAAACATGTGATTATGATATCTTATGTTTAAATTAGAATTAGTTCTCATGTCAACTTCCAAAGAAATTTAAAAGCTTAAAAAAATCGCAGATCTTTATAACTTTTAATTTTTCATTTCAGGGGCTCACAGAGACAATTATAACTGTAGGAATGATTGCAGGGCCACCTGCTGGAAGTTTCCTGTACTTGGTAAGTTCAGTGTATAAATATCAGATTATTATACAAGTAGCGCTGATTTTTTTACCGAATAATCTTTTTTAAATAAATACTTTATACATTTGTATCTACACCTTTGGTGTTGACTGATATTCACATTTATTATGCTCTAGGTATTAACTATTCTTTGCAGCTGTTTTTTTTTTTAAATAAAGTACCAAGTTTTGTTTTTCATTGCTGTTTCACGTAAGACACTTACACTATTTTTATATATTTATCCCCCGGTGAGACAGCGGTAAATCTTCGGCTTTATAATGCTAAAATCAAGGGTTCGATTCCCCTCAGTGGACACAGCAGATAGTCCGATGTAGCTTTGCTATAAGAAAACACACACACACACCTTTCTATATATTCTTGTTTTTCATGTCTAATATACATAAATATATTCATATGTACGCATGTATATACACCTACATGTGTTTTTATGTTTGGTTGTTAAGCACGAAGCTACATAATGGGCTATTTGTGCTCTGCCCACTGCGGGTATCGAAACCCGAGTTTTAGCATTATAAGCCCTAATATTTACTGCTGAGCCACCGGGGTTAATTTTGATATTAAGTCTATCTATTTTTTTAGCATTGACACAGAACTTGTTAAAATTCATGTATATTTCTAAACTTGATCTCTCTTTAAAAATCTCATTACTAGTTGTAACCAATCAGCATCTAGAGAAATGCGACGTCCTTCTAGTTACCGCTAAGTTAGATTGTCTACGTGTACTGAATGTTCTCTGGATCTTTATCGACTGTCTCTGTATTCTCATTGATCTGTTGAGTCTTAGGGACCAAAAAAGGGATTTTTTCAATCGCAGATCCGACATTTGCTTGGTAAAAAAAGAGAGCTGCTATCGACCTTAGTTGATGTACCTGGAAAGGGTGACTTTGTAGGCGTTTCTGTTTTAGTTAGCACCAAAGTATATTTATTGAAGCTGGCGAAAGAGACTGTCGTGATCTGTTTGCAGGCAGCATGGTCAGAATACATGTAACGGATGGCGCGTTGACTATAAGGATGGCTGAACTCCTGAAAGCCCCAGTAAGGCTCAGTGAATAACGTTTTTTTTTTTGCTTTTTGTCTGTGTCGTCATTTTGAGCAATTCTTTTTCATTCGCGTTCCACCATTTTCATGATCACAATACTTTATTCACTAGATACTTCCTGCTAATTAAGTCCTAATGATCCATTGTTAATACAGGGGAAATGTGTATATCTCATCATAAGAAAGTTAAATATACATATACAGAGAACAGTACTTTGACGTTACTCTGATAAAGTCACGATGTTGTCTTCCAGTATATATATACTCGTTTTCTTTAAATTTCTAGTGTTTTTCCTTAGTGTGAATGCTCCTTGTTTGTTCATTCATGTGTGACCTCTCAGCCTCCAGTGATTTAGCGATAAAGCTTATAAAGCTAAAAATATGGGTTTGATCTCTGCGTTGAGCACAACACAGACATTCCATGCTTTGCGCTTAACAACAAACAAACCATTTATTTAAATTGTATAGCATATTATAGCATATGTATATATATATATATATATATACGCCTAGTATTGTTTTATTTTGCTATCTCACGTGCTTTGCAAACACATATCATTCGTCGCTGGACTTTTTGTATAGATGGTCTCTGGTTTATGTCTATATAATACTTTGTGTGTATCGAGACTCGGCAGTGAAGTGTGAACTTGTTAATGGATAATAACTACTAAAACTAATAAAACAGAATTCTGATGTTATTAGAACAATGTAAATAATGATTGCAGTTGTCTAAGAATTGTCTTTTTTTAATAATAACTCGAGCACTGGTTTCTTTATATTAAAGTGAAAGAGCACATGAGATTACTTGAAACTTGTCTTCTTACTTTTTATTCCTTTTACCCCCGGACACTGGTTTGTGTCGGGTTTTTTCTTTTGCGTAAAGCTACACAGTGAGCTATTTGTACTCTATTCACCAAGGGGAATCGAACCCCGGATTTTAGCGTTGTAAGTCCATAAACTCTGTCGGAGTAATACAGTTAGGGTTAAGTGCTTCATGAGTGTTTCTCCGTACTTTTACTCTACTATCTGGTCAATATAGAAAAGAGTCAAACTCGACTCATCAGATCACATTATATGTTTCCAAGTTCTAAGCTCCATTGAAGCAACGCTTTCTTGTTTATATCTGATATAAACAATCTTCAGACTGGTTTTGTTTGTTTGTTCTTAAGCGCAAAGCTCCACAATGAGCAATCTGTGCTGTGCCCACCAAGGGTATCGAAAGCCGGTTTTGGGGTTATAACCCTTCAAACTTATTGCTGAGCCACTGAGGGGCATTCGAACTGGTTATCGGCTGTCATATGATAGTGTTTGTAATGTCATTTGCATAATACGTTTGAAGTCTCGAATACAAACGAAAACTAACCACTTTAAGTAATCAGCCAACTGAGATACAATCTGATTTCTGTTGTACCTTACAAGGCTATCCAATTGCCCTTTTGCTCGGTCTGTCGCCTCTGGTTTGCGGCCGTAGTTTTACTCCAAGGTGCAGGCGGTTTCCCCTTTGAATGCTACTGTTGTCAGATTCAGATGACAGGTGTTTGAACAGTCCCTTTAAAAATAAAAAAATGATCCATGGTCTTATTAATCGTAACTATCAGCATAAAAACAACAACTATTTTTAGGTAACTCAACAGAAACAGACTGTAAGAGAAGTTATTTCCCAAAAAGATTTCAGTTTGAAAAGTTTTAATTTTAGTGTGGCTTAAATTTATTCCCTTCTTCTCTCTCTCTTCCCATGTTTCTGGTTAGTTTAGCATTCAATTCCCCTCCACATGAACTAACAAATAAACCTTATTGTAATATATACATTATTTAAATAGATTATTATTATTTGGCTATGGTTACACATTACCCTAATCCAACAGGGCTTCATTTATTTGTGTTTATAATGATTATATCCCTCTTTTATTATCTAGGTATTTCTTTCTTTTATGAAAAATAATGTTTTTGGTGGGGTTTTTTCTTGTTGTTCAAAAGGAACATTTTAAAAAACTGATGATAAAGTAGGTATGATTCAACAAAGAACTCCAGATAATACTACTGAAGTGAAATATGAGATTTGCTATATAGTATGATCAATTTTTACCAGACACTAATAGAAAGATGTGTAATTCAGCTTTTCACTTATCACAACAAAACTTTACCAAAGCATATATAATGACAAAATATAACACCAGATTATTATAAATAACGTCTGTAACCTTATATCACTACATATTAAGCATTCAGTACTTGGTTGGCCCTCCTCGTACTCTAATAACCACTGCAGGGCGACGTGGTATTCTGTCGATGGGGTTATTGATGTAATCTACCATAATTTCATCCCAATATGTCACTAGAAGACGCTGAAACTCAGCTACAGTAGCTGGTTTAGGGTCGTCGTTAACAATTTTCCTGCTCAATAGTTCTCAATGGGATTGCAATCTGGAGACTTTGCTGGTAATCGTGTAACGTCCTCCTGGCCGAGATAATCCTGTACATATGCGCACTGTGGGCAGTGGAATTGTCATTCTGGAACACAAAGTTATTGCTAAACCTTGCCTTAGCATATGGCAGAAATATCGTTTTCATGTAATACCTGTAGGAGGCGACATTGACGTTTCCCTGAAGGATTTGAAGAGCAGTTTTTCCACCATGATGAATAGCTGCCTAAACATGTACTGCACCACCTCCTGCCTTGTATGCTCCCTGTGGGAAAGACAGAACACAAGGAACACGAATCCTACCATCAGCTTTAATAAGCCACAAACGACTCATCTGAAAAGATGACATGTCACCAGTGTCTTAACTGTAAGTTGGCATGCTGTCTTGCCCAAGTAACACGGTGACGACGGTGAATTCTGGTTAATATCGGTTTGCAGATAGCCCTTCATGAAAAATAACCTTTTTTGGTCAGTATTCTATTCACTGTTCTTCTGGATATCCTGAAATAAATGTTTTCATGTCATTCTTGTCGTAAGGTGTTGCAAGACTTCTTTCGACCTTGACTTGTTAACTTGATAAAAACACAGTCATATCGGGCAGTAGTTTTTCGGCGTCTACCAGCAGACTTTCCCGGAAGAAAGTTTCCTGTAGTCCGATAACGTTTCGTTTCAGGATTCTGGATACAATACTCTGGGGGTACACTACTATTTTGGCAATGTCCGTTTGCTTCATACCTTTTCTGGACAGTCGAACAATTTGAAGTCCTATAACTTCTGACACGTGACGAGACATAACTCTACAACTAGTACAGAAAAATTATCTGAACAAAGCATTGATTTGTTTCGAAATAAATTATACCAAAAGCACACCATTTTAAACAAAACAGGTGTGTGTTTATGTGTTTTGACGAATAACTGCTAAAAACAACTTATACAGACCAGAATAGCAGCTCGTACATGTTTGTCCGATCATACGCTACCTTCTCTACCATACTACTGGGCATTTACTCAATAACCACTTCATGCATGTAGACAATAACATCAATATCGAACACTATACAAACTTTTGGCCGAGACTGCATACGCTGTGCCCACCAGGGATATCGAAACCCGGTTTGTAGCAGTATAAACCTTCAGACTTACCGCCGTGCCACTGGCGGAGGGGGACATTTTTCAAAAGAAATGTAATCTGTAGTTCAACAAGATTCACGATTTCAGTCTTATCAAGATGTACAACTAGTTTTTTATTTCAGTGGTTGCGAGATAAAATGTGGAATGTGACTACCTCATTCGCTTATAAAACATCTCCCAAAACGGTATTTTGTAGATATTGTATATGTTATACAGCACAAAATCTCGTTTGTAATGTTGCCAAATACAGCTTGGTGCGATTTTTTACTTGAGAGCTCCTATTTTTTAGGGTTCAACGACCATACTAATATTCTTACCGATTATACTTTTTTCGGATATAACAAAACGTTATTTATCAGAAAGAAAAAATGCAATTCAAATTCAGGGGCTTACACAATAGTGAACAAAAAGGGGAAACAGCCCCCTCCCCAATAACTTTATACGTACAGAATCGGTCATTTCGGTGAGTATAATTTTGTTTATTTCTATGCCTATGATGTACATTCGTGTGTTGATATAGTTAATATATATATATATATATATATATATAATATTGTTTTTTTAACATGGCACCGACCCAGTAGCGGCCACATATAAAATCATGCGTAAGGTTCTGTTGCAAGTTAATTTAAAGAAAAATATATATTTAGATAATTACTTTCACAAATCTTAGTTGTATAAATGTTAATGTTTTTGTTGATTTTTACACTTTAGAGTTGGTAGTTCAAAGTGTGCTGTATGTTGATATTTTTTTAAGGTTTGCGGCTTGGAGATGATTATCTAAAGATCTCTGTGTTAACGTTATTGCTTCCCCGTGGCTCAGCAGCAAGTCTGAGGGCTTATGACGATAAACATCGATTTTCGATACCCGCACTGGGCAGAGCACAGAAAGTCCATTGTGTAGTTTTGTACTTACAAAACAAACAAACAAAAACTAACGTTATTAATGTTTGCAGTTTAATAGTGTTGATTTAATGTAAGGGTAAATATCTCTTATTCAAAACCTAATTTCCATTTTCGTGAGCCCACTTTTAAATAAATAAAATATATGTAATACTAATTATTTGAGACTAAATACTTACGTTAATAATATCTTGAATTCACATATATTACCGAGAGAAAACACGCAACTCAACTTCCTTTAAACTAAGCAGCAAGAAAAAAAAAAAAAACTGGACCCATAGATACAGTACTTTTCATTTCCCTCTCTTTCATTTAATCAACAGTAAACTCCAAACAGTATTAACAACTTTGACTTTTCAATGTTTTGCCCATCTTCTGTTCTGCCAATACAAATAGTTAAAAAAGCAGCCTTCGTTGTATGTTATGTAATTAATATATGCACGTTTTAAATACACAGTATAATTGTAAAATGTATTTTATCAAATATTCTAATACCATATTCATTTGTCTTAATGACCATGTGACATTCGACAAAAAAATAACATTTCACCATTTTAACGCTCTGACACCTGCTCTACAGCCAGAGCGATCGCATAATGCCTGACGCCAGCTCCTGAGGGAGAGTGACAGTGTGCGTACTGCGTGGTCTGAGAGAGCCCTACCAGTGGACACAGGATATCAGAAACATCCAGAGTCTCTTTTGACATGCTGACAGTTTGGCTAGGAGAGACATTTAATTTTGGGTTTAAACTGAATAACTTATTTTTATATACATATGTCTAGTTTCTGAAGTGTCGGTACTCAGCTCAAGCATTACACCACTACATTATCTACATTTTTCCAGATATTGCCGATAATGGTTGCTAGTGGATGACGAATCTATTAATTTTAAGGAGAATATTGTATAGTTTTTATCTTTGCTTCTTCTTTTTTTTTCTTTTGTAAGTGTTGCACTCTCAACATTCTTATTGTTTTATTTCTCATGGAAATTTAAAAGGTAAAATAAAATAATTTGTTTTGCATATTACTATGAATGCACAGCGCCGTATCATGTAGTCTTAGTTTACACAAACTATGTAGCATATTTTAATATTTTGCCTAGAGTGGCAAAATACTTCTCTGCTTAGGGCAGCAAAAATCCTCTAAAAATGACTCTGGGTGAAGGCTTAAAATGAGTTTTGTGTTGATATTCTTAAACGCTAACGCTTTAAAGGTGGTATTTTAAAGTGATACTTGTGTTTAAAAAAATGTATGCTTTCAGCTTGGAGGATACCACACACCTTTTGTCGTATTTGGAACGTTAATTATGCTCACGGCCAGTGCTTCTGTATGGACTGTGAACACAAGCTCTGGTGGGTGGAAGACACTTCACCTGTCACTAATCAGATAAGAAATATTCTACAAATAACTCAATTAAAAGGAACAACACAACGTTAAAAAAGTTCACAATAAGTTATTTAAAAAAAAAAGCTCCTTGTGATGGCGGAATATAATATCGCCGAAAGATGTTAAGTCTGGTGCTTCTTTTTTTAATAATAAATTATTGAACACTCTTTAACGTTGTAGTGTTCGTTTCAATTTAGTTAATTTATGCACAAATATCGTGTTTTATCATAATCATAATATTCATCCTCTTCAAACTACTTATGTCAGACAATTTAAGTGTATTCAATTTTGGAGATAGTGTCATTTAATGCTTGGGAAATATTTAACTAGTCTAGCTTGCACTCATAAAATCTGATTTGATTTACGCTAACGATTTATAATATGCAACCATTTAAAATTTAGGAGATAATCTATTTGTGAAAAATCAACGAAACATAAGGTAAATTAGTTGCCTATTTTGTTTGTTTTAAGTTTCTTTGCTTGTAGTTTACAAATATACGCTGGTACATGACTGTAAAACTTTTAAGTAAGTCATTTTTTAACGGACTTATGAAGAATGTTGTTCTGATAAAAGAAACATGTAAATTATTGTTTGGATCATTGTGAGCACATGTATAATAACCATTTAGGTTTCCGTTTCATTTTGTTCCTAGATAATCAGTCAAGAGAAAAACCCTCTGCTCTAACAGTCCAGGAATATCTGCACATACTTAAGTTGCCGGCAACCATTCTCTCCATACTCTGCGTGACCCTAAATGTTGTAGCCGATGCTTTTATTTTAATCACTCTTAGCGATCATTTACAACAGGTAAGAATTCAGTTGAGTCACTTCATCGCAAGGGTTTTATGACACAGTTAACTTATATAACTTCTATAGGCGATAAAAAAAATCATTTTAAAAATATACCGTTATGGAATAATGTTTTTTGTTCATGAGTTAATTAAGTAGTGTTACAAATAAACAAATAGAACCTCACAATTGATTTGTGTTTTCGACTGACACGCTGCTTGTGAGCCAGAAAATTATTCACTTTGAATTCAGTAACTTTAGTTTTATGTATTTTTATGTTATACGTAACGAAAATTGCGTAGGTCCAGCAACTTTACTACTCAACGCCGTGTTTTAATTCATGTATATTGATTTATCGATTTACCTGTCCTACGTTTTGATTTCAGTTTTCTCTACATCCTCTGGAGGTTGGATGTGTCTACCTTTGCCTGTTCATATCCTACGCTTTCAGCTCACCTATTGCTGGAAGATTAGCAGATAAACTTGTGAGTATTGTAAGCCCACGTGTCTGGATATACACGATAAATAGTGAGCATTGCAAACCTATGTGTTTTAAAGCGCACACGAAGTGGTGAGAGCCCCCGGTGGCACAGCGCTATGTCTGTGGACTTACAACGCTAGAAACCGGGCTTCGATACCTATAGTGGGTAGAACACAGATAGCCCATTGTATAGCTTTAAGCTTAATCTCAAATAACAAACGAAGTGATGAGCATTGGAAGCTCGCGTGCGTACTAGCTGTTCAATAAAAAATAAAAAATTACAAAAGGTGCACATGACTTAAAAAAAAAACGGCCACGGGTACTTTTTTATGACAAAAAAATAATTATGTAATACAATTTTTCCATCTGCTTAAAACTGGATTAAAAATGACAACAAATAACGTAATACTTGACCTAAAACAAAATACCACGTAACATAGATAAAGGACGTCCCAGTTATTATATATGTATGTGTGAGTTTTGATTTGTTATTTATAACATGTATAAAACACGAAACTTCTAGTGTGGTGTACAAAACGTTTTTGCTTGATATAAAACCGAGTAGACTGTTCATAGATATTATTGTTGTGCTTTTTTGTTTTGTTGAATTTCGTTCAGTTTATTTGTTTGTTTTAAATTCAAGCACAAAGCTACACAATGGGCTATCTGTGCTCTGCCCACCACGGGTATCGAAACCAGGATTCTAGCGTTGTAAATCCGCAGACATACTGCTGCGCCACTGGGAGCGAATTTCGCTCAAAGCGACTATCTGCACTAGCCATCCCTAATTTTAAAGTTGTAGACTGGAGGGAAGGCAGATGGTCAACGCTACCCACCGCCAACGTTCGGGCTACTCCTTATCAAGGAAAAGTGGGATTTGCCGTCACTTATAACGCTCCCATGACTCAAAGGGCGAACATTTTCGGTGACGGGATTTGAATCCTCGATCAGCAGATTGAGAGTCGAACACCCTAATCATCATTTCTGCATCTAGCAATTAATTAACGAAATATTTTTAAAAAATAGTATTTTACAACGTTCTAGATATGTCTGTTATAGTCTACTCGCTTACTAGACTCCTCCTGCCAGTGGCTCAGTGGTAAGTCTGAGGGCTTACAACGCTAACAATCAAGTTTCGATACCCGCGTCAGACAGAGCACAAATAACCTGTTGTGTAGCTTTGTGCCGAACAAAAAACAAACACTTACTAAATACGCCTAATATGCTTACCATAGTTTACTCGTTTACTTGATATGCCTGCTATAATTTACTTGTTTATTGATATGGTAACGTAATGTTTTGTATCTACTCGGATCGTATTCGACCAGAAATTTCTCGCGCACCAGGCAATTGCTCTACCAACTGAGCTAATGTGTTAACTCCTTTGCACTTTTTAACAACTCAAACGACTACACCGGCTTATTCGTTTACAATTGTATTATACTACTCTTTTTTTACTTAACATTTACTTAACTGATATAATATATTATTTTCAGAGAGACCAATTGTGAATTATTTTTGTTTGTTTCATTAAACGAGTATAGCTATACTTAAAGTATATAAATAAAGAGAAACCTTTTCAAAAAAAGAAATAAATGTAGGAATGGCTAATATCAATCCTTCAAAAACAATGCAAACAAGATAGTGGGGATGGCATTTGCATCATCCCTACATAATAGCAGAGGCAAGAATTAACATATAGCAATATTCATAAATATTCAATCACAATTGAGATTAATTTATCCTACTTTTGTATGTTAACATTCTGCTAATATGTCGGGATGATGCAAATGCCATCCCTACTATGTCGTTTGCATTGTTTTTTAAAGGTTGATATAAGCCATCCCTACAATTACTTCCTTTTTTGAAAAGTTTTTCTTTACTTGTTTTTTTTCGAATGCAGTGTTTTCCATAGACATAGGAAGGTTTTATTTATAACCACGTTATAAACAATGAGGTTCCAACTGTAATATTAATATTATTTTTCTATTATTGGTTGGTAATTCCTGCTTCACCCTGTACTTAAGCTTTTTAAAGAAACACCAAATTACTATATAAAAGCTAACTTCAAGGGGTAATGATAACATAGTTTACATTAAAATTATAATTTTTTATTACTACTAATTATTAATAATATTTAATTAATAAAATTCAAACTTTTTGCTATGATATTTACAGACATTCTCAGAACTTGTGACTCAGTCAATACATAGATATTGTTAGAGTACGTTATTGTACAGTTATTGTTAGAGTACATTATTGTAAAGTTATTGTTAGAGTACATTATTGTAAAGTTATTGTTACAGTGCATTATTGTAAAGTTCTGAAGACCTATTGAGGAAATACTTAGAATACCATTTCGATGAACAATCTGAGCCATCCCTACATAGGCAGTGTTATCGCCTGCCTGACATATATATATATATATATATTATAATTTACCAATATCCTCGTGGTATTTTATCTTCTTTTACTTGCAACCCAATATATGACAGTCTTTAGCTGTTGTGCTCTTCTATCAAATTCCATGTGAATCATATAAGGAAGCTTTTATTTTAAATACACTGCAAGGAATGAAAAAAGTTTCGATGGGAAATGTTTTCAATAAAATGTCGAAAATGTATAACCTTGCATTTGTACCGCTCCACCTCATTTGACTCATATCAGTTTACATGTATATATATAGAAATAAGTATGTCTCTCTCTGTGTGTGTATATATATATATATATATATGTTGTTTCAACAGAAGCTGGAATACATTCTTCAATGCGTTGGATCACTCGTATTAGTTGTGTCCTTTATGCTGATTGGTCCAGTTGCTTTTCTTCCTCTCTCCCCGTAAGTAAATCTAAAACTTTAACCTGAATGTGTTGGAATTGTAAGCTTAAATAACATGAACATTGTAATCAATAAAATAACCCACACCAGATTATATTCATAAGTATTATACTGTAAAGACACTTATAGGCAGCTCATTGTATAATATTATTATCGATACTAGATAGAAGATTATTTGTATGCACTTTAAAGTAAGTAACACGTAATGAATCGTTGCCGCTAATATTGCATAACACATGTTCGTGGATTAACATACAACAGTTTACATAATAATGTGTTACTGAAGACGTGTGTCATTTATAAATCAGTTTTACTGTTGTATCTTATATCTGCTGCTCCTGAATGTAAGATCAGTTTCAATTTGCTGGACTGGATGCCGTGGTAAACTTTAAAAAGGCTCATGCCCGTAAAAATAGGTGCCCCAAAATGTGTTCAAACAAGAAATGTGACTTCGCAGTGTTAAGGAAACTTGTGACATATACATGTTTATAACTATGGTTTTACAGATAACTTTATTTTATTGTACGTCTTCAAAAACTCTGGAGAGTGGAGGCATTTGGCCACCTAGCAGCAACTGTATATTCGTCCTGAGTTATATTCGGAAATACAGATGGAACACGGGTTCTGAAAAGCTCTAGATACTTTTGGCTATCTAGCAACAATTTTTTTATTCATTCTGTGCTACATGTTTAAAAACAAAAATCGATTTCGTAATCTAATAACAAACAGTTTTCACCTCTTTTTTCTACTTGCACAATAGACAGTATACATTTTTAACTCCTTAAAGCCGAGCAGACTCTCCCAGCGTTCGGCCAAAAATCCAAATTTACCCATCAGACGGACATTTATGTTTCGTTGGCTGAAAACGAATCCAAACCATGATATTATCCACCTTTTATAAATAGACCGAGACTACTTCGCCACCTACCAGATTATAACCTCAATTCTCTCTCCCGCATAATAAAACACTTTAAATCATCAGTAGCTTACAACCACAATTCTCTCTCTCCCACATAATAAAACACTTTGAATCATCGACAGCTTACAGCTCCAATTCTCTCTCCCACATAATAAAACACTTTAAATCATCGGCAGCTTACAACCCCAATTCTCTCTCCCACATAATAAAACACTTTAAATCATCGGCAGCTTACAACCCCAATTCTCTCTCCCACATAATAAAACACTTTAATCATCGGCAGCTTACAACTCAAATTCTCTCTCTCACACATAATAAAACACTTTGAATCATCGACAGCTTACACTCCAATTCTCTCTCCCACATAATAAAACACTTTAAATCATCGGCAGCTTACAACTCCAATTCTCTCTCCCACATAATTAAACACTTTGAATCATCGGCAGCTTACAACCTCAATTCTCTCTCCCACATAATTAAACACTTTGTTCGGTAGAAGAAAAACAAATAATAACAGAATGAGAGCTTTTAGAGGATCCCCCCCCCCCCGTAGCGATACAGCGGTAATTTTGCAGACTTCTAACGCTGTAAACAAGCTTGCAGGGGTCGTCTTATCCTATGCTTTTAAGGTAATATTTTTAATGGCATGTTAGTACACTTTTGTTTTTATAGATTTGGTGTATTTATCAATTTCGTCTAATGTGAATACTTTTTATACGTGAACTTAGTATCTGTCATTCTTTCAACGTTATTATGACTGTATCTTTACTACCCTCGAAAACAAGTAACAATTAAGGGTTAAATTACAAAAAGTCAACAGTATTTTACCATATTTTTTGACAGTAAAGTGTGGTTGGTGACGGTTGGTCTGCTACTCAAGGGTTTTGGGGCAGGGCCTCTTATTTCCTGTTCTTACTCTGCATGTCTACGGTCTGCCAGGTGAGTTTTAATCTTTACAATAATTACCTTCTTCGTTGCCAAAGGCAGAGTTTGTGTCTAAATGTACATATAAGTGCTTGTTTGTAAGGTTACCGATGTGGAATTCAAAAGATTGATGTGAACGTAGTTTGGTGGAAATAACTTCAAATACACCACACTTTACACTTAATTCTTCATCAGTATATATATTTCCTGAAACAATAGTTAAGCAGGTGCAAAGAAATATATTGTGCTGTACAGTAGTATTATTGGTTCTATAGGGAAATTACTATAGAATAAACGCATTTTGTTAATAGTTCCTACCAAAGAAGACCCACCCGCCAACTGTAAAGGAAAAACTAGTGTAAGCTGGGTTCACTGTTGGAATGATAAGACAGTGATTGAGATTATGTGAAAACAACATGCTTCCATTAATTAATTAATATATTTCTTTACTGAAAATTGTCTCATAGTTAACTTGGGATAGTAGTATCTATATCCCCACTAACAGAAAAACTGATTCTAATAAGTGTTTCCTTGGGGATCAAGGTTTCTCTAAATTAATGTTTTAAAATAATAGTAGAAAAGGAGATACTATTTTATAAAACGTGAATATTTCTCTTGAAAAAGCTTTGTATATGAACATTACTTGTATTTGTCCAAGGATAGGAACTATTGAAAATACAACTACTAATCGATTGGATGTGTATATTTTCTTTGATGTGTTTAACACTACAATTTGAAAAGTAGTAGTGTACAAAGGTTACTTAAATTGTCATTCAAAGTTTTTAAGAGTCCTTAATGGTTACTTTAAAAAATATGTAATTCCGTAAATATGGAATTTTTAATTAAAAAATATATGTTAAAATTCTTTTCGTATTTCATGTTTCAGTCCAGTTTTGTTTGTTTGTTTTGTCGTTTACTGACTTAGGAAAATACCATTCTATTAACGTATCTGTAACATCTTACATTTTGCAGACAGCTATAGAAACATTCTGTTGAGTTCGCTATTAATGTCTGGTTTATAGATTCGTACAACATCACAATAAATAAAACCTTAATACTGCATTCACAAAGGTTGAATTTTTGTGTTTATCTAAGTTGAACAGTTTATCTAACTTATAAGTAGTTGTATACTAACAAGTTGCACGTATTTCTGATTTCTATAATGCGTATATCCTGATTATGTTAATAACATGTTATTAAAGTATGCTTCAGCGGGATAAATATAATGCTGGGTTTATTCGACTTGGGATAATGTCATCATAATATGGGACAATTATTCTTACAAGTGTAGAGAAATTACAAACAAAAACCGTGTATTTTATCATTAGATCATTTTAATTCGCAGCGTAAAAATGTTACAAATCGTTCCAAAAACTTGAATTTAACGATATTTTGGTATCGTGTTTTTTGCTGATTAGAAGACATTCAAGTCTCTTTACTTCTTTAGATAATTATGAAAAAAAAAACTTTTTATGCCGTCTTTTGAGTTTACTGAATACAAAGAATGGAGTATAAACACGTTTTACATTATTGGGTTATTTTGCGATTTTAAGAATCATAAACTCGAATATTCTTTTTACAGACAAAAAGGAGGCCTGCCTGAAAATTTCAGGACATATAGTCTGGTATCGTCCATTGTCTCGTTTTCTATTCCCCTGGGGTAAGTGAATAGCTTGACTATTCCAGAAGTGTCTGTATAATCGTATTTAGTTTACCAAACTTTGCTGTAGAAAGGATGAAATCCAGAGGGAGCAGGTCAAGTTAGATCCGTCGTTTGATTCATAAATAATTTTAACGAATATTGAATATAATTATGTTTTGGGTTTCAAAGGAAACAATACAACTAATATTAACAATACATTAGTTTTTATATTGTTATAATGTACTGGCCCGCTTCCCTCAAAATATACTTTATTTCTTACTAAAAGTTATTTGTGTTTTTATACACATTAAATATCCTAAACCCCAATACTTGGTTTTGAATTTACCCAAAATGTTCCAACTCAGGAATTTAATTGGAGGGTTCACAGCTGGGGTGATGCTGGAAGAGTTAGGGATGTCTTGGTCTACTACCATTCATGCTTTCGTGTTCGCCAGTCTGGTAAGCACTTTAGTATTTGACAGATGTTTTTACAAAATGTTTCCAAACCGTTCTACACCATCAGTAAAGAAGTTACAGTACCGATAATACTTTATACATATAGGATATAAGATTAATTATTGAATTTTATATCCATTGTAATTGGCTTTACAAACAGGTATTAATTAACAATGTTAATAAGCTTTAAATCATAGGTATGTACGAATGAAAATGCTTTGTTTTATCAATGACAGACTTTGGAATTTGAATAGTTGTTTTCATGCACGTTTTATCTGTTTTATATCTACCATACCGCTAAAAAACTGGTTTATATCTAATAATATCCATAGAACTTTATTGTAAAGGATAAAATAAAAAAGTTAATTATATAAATACCTTACGCAATTTCATAGTTTAATTTTAACGCAACTGTAGTTAGAAAAGTTGGATTTCTTGTTCAACTAATGTGTATATAAAAATTATATCAAAAGTGGTCAGGGAAGATATTTTGGTATTCTGCAAATTTTAGTCTATTCACAATCAGTGTGTACTAATGAAAAGTATGATAAACTTCAGCTAAGCAAGTTATTATATTTAATTATGAAAGAATCTACCTAAACTTTGTCACCTGTATTTTAATCCAGTTTTTTTCTTACGCATATAGGCAGTTGCATGCCTGTTTGTTCACTTTTTCGACAAACTAATCCTTCCAACCAAAGAAAAAGATCCCACAGAACACACACCTCTGTATATATCCATATTAGACGAAAAGATTCGTAATGGAAAGCCTACTTCACAGTTGAACTGTCACGATAAAGAGCTTGACTATCAAAACTTCGACGAGTTGTCTAATGATGCCACTCAGCAAACTGCTAACGAATTGCTGGAAACACTTCTCAAGTCACAAGGCGTTTACTGAAAAGGAAAGTGGATAAACATTAATACAACTGGAGATTGCTCTGCTCAATCATTCGTGGTGGGATGCATGCAATTTGAAGCCTGTTGATAATGCAACATGAAGGTGCCAATCTCAAAACTCTTACTCGTCCATAATTCCATTGTATTGTATTACTCTTGTGAAATGCATGCAATTTGAAGCCTGTTGATAATGCAACATGAAGGTGCTAATCACAAAACTCTTACTCGTCCATAATTCCCTTGTATTGTATTGCTCTTGTGAAATGCATGCAATTTGAAGCCTGTTGATAATGCAACATGAAGGTGCCAATCACAAAATTCTTACTCGTCCATAATTCCCTTGTGTTGTATTACTCTTGTTGCATCTGCATCTCACAATCACTTACTTTTGCCAAACTCTAACTATCTATCATTCATCTTTTTTTATATATATTTTGTCAAATTTCTAATTAACAAATAGTGGAATTGAAATGCTCTTTGCAGCTTCAGTCCGCCAGTAAGATTTGTTTTCTGTATTACGATCGCTAAAAGCTGCTTTTTTTAACATGTTATACAAAATGGAAACCATAGTTTCACGTTCATCTTATTTAGTTATTTTATAGATTCTTGATGATCCGATGTAATAAAAAAGAATGGGATCAAAATGTGAACAAGTAGTTATCTTCTACGTTTTAATTTCCATACGATCTCAACTGTTGATAATTCACAACAACGACGATATGTTCACCAGTAACTTTCACCCAAGTGTACCAAATAATACGATTTTAGGAGCGTGCCTTGATTCTAAAAATCCGTTGTTTATTACACCAACTTTTCAGTTTAAGGACAGTGTTAACATCACATTAAGTTACATAAATGACTATTATTCAATAAAATAACAATCAGGCACACAACCACGATTTTTTTAAGGAGACGACTCACTTCCAATCCACCAGTTTATGAATGACATATTATAGTTGATGTCTTTCGTATAATTTATAATTGTTACTGAGCGAATAACAAAAAAAAGCGTATTTCCCTTTGTTTCAAAGCAGTTCAGATTACAGATAAGTATTCAGCTATCTAGATATGACTTTTTCTAGAACATATTTTTGCACAACTTTTCATAGTTTAAAGCTATGGGGAAGGGTCTCTAACTCCCCAAGGGGATCTTCCGTACACGCATACTAGAATTCTGGAAGGCTGCAATGCATTCTATACTACTTTTTGCGGTTATTCATTACTTTTTTCTTCAAGTTAACTAAACTGTTTATTCTAATTTATTTGTTAAGAAGATTCTAGAAAAATGATTCAAAATTAACTAATATTAAGGGTTAAATAAACGTAGAATGTAAAGAGCTGAAATTCAATTTTAAACTGCACGTTTTATCTTTTTATACATGCATGTACACGGAATTTATTTTTAATCAAGACTAACCCTTAACTGATTTTATTAAAAAATATAAATTTAATTTATATATCTACAAGTAACTAAACAAAAAAGGCTGAACATTTAAAAGTTATATGTTACTACTGTGTAAACAGGAAAATTCAATGATGTTTCTGCAGTGTTCAATTTTTTAACATCAAGACTGCTTTAGGAGTGATTATATTGTTGTTACAATACTTAAGTTGCTAGCTAACTAGCTACAAAATTAAGTTTACGTGATTTCGTTACAAGTTTCAAAGTCATAGGTTTTACAGTGCTAGTGTTGATAACGTTAAGCCTGGATTGTAATTTTTAAATTATTAGTTTCCAAGACTTTTTGAAGCGTTTGCGTTATTAGCTTTAAAGTTGCTTTGATTATACTGTTAACTTTACATTTTTGATTGGATTAGCATTTATTAAGTTGTTAATATAAAAAACTGATTTTTTGTGTATGTGTTTAGGTCATTAGCTTTAAGGTTGCTTTGGTTGTACTTATATTATTACTTTTAGGCTGTTTGAACTATATTTACATATTTAGCTTTTAATTTATCTTTAGTGTGTATTTTGGCAACGTTTATATTATTTAAAAAAAAAGATACTTTTACGTAGTTAGCTTACAGTATTTTTCTTACTTTTTCTCTGCCGCGTTTATAGAAACAACTCTACTAGTGCCACCTTTTTTTTTTTTAAGTTACACAGAAAAACACGTGTTGTTGTTTGTTTGTTTTTGAATTTCGCGCAAAGCTACACGAGGTCTATCTGCGCTAGCCATCCGTAATTTAGCAGTGTAAGACTAGAGGGAAGGCTGCTAGTCATCATCACCAACTCTTAGGTTACTCTTTACCAACGAATAGTGGGATTGACCGTCACACTATAACGCCCCCACGGCTGAAAGAGCGAGCATGTTCGGTGGGACGGGAATTCGAACCCGAGCGCCCTAACCACGTGTTGTTGTATAATTACTTAAATATCACTTATTATTTATCATATTAACATCGTCTGTTTATGAATTTTGAAATTACTGACTTTAATGAATACCTTTCTCTCAGAAAACTTAATATCACACTTTTCAGGGCTGAAATAAAATATATAGTGTGCCGATGCTCTAGAGGAGAACATAAATATCCATGGCAGTAAAAAGAGTTAATAAATTCGTTCTTCGCTTTCACGTGTACTTAATGCTCTAGTTTCAACTACTTATGTTTTACATTATTACTGAAAGTATGATTTTTGCTGTTCTTAAAAGTTTGAAATTTGTAAACAAGTCGAACTTAAAAATATCATCTTACTAGTCTAGTTTGTTTCAAAATCAATAAATTTCAATTTGTACATTTTTATATTGTTGTTTTTAGTTAATGTTTTATTATCATTATTCGTTAATATCTTAATAGCTGATCGTTTTGTATTTGTTTGTGACCAATGAAGGACTATAACAGTAATGAATGTACAAGCAGATACATAAGCATTATACAGAAACAGAGGTATTGAAAGATACACTAAAATAAAGATCTGAACCCCAATATTTGGATTAATAGAGAATATCTCTCATTTCGTAAAAACAAACTATATAGTACACATATTCTTAAACCAGTAAGACACAAACAAAAAAGATATCACCGCAAACACTCCATGTAGCTCAGTCATTTTAAAACTTAGCACAACACGGTTACTGTGACAGCAAGCTTTAAAACTAATGCATGATAATTATATAAAACAAACACATGGGCCTGGCATGACCAGGTGGTTAGGGTGCTCGACTCACAATCTGAGGGTTAGGGGTTCGAATCCCCCTCCCTCCAAACATGCTCGCCCTTTCAGCCGTGGGGGTATTATAATGTGACGGTCAATCCCACTATCCGTTGGTAAAAGAGCATCCCAAAAGTGGTGATGACTAGCTGCCTTCCTTCTTGTCTTATACTGCTAAATTAGGGATGGTTAGCACAGATAGCCCTTGTGTAGCTTTGTGCAAAATTCAAAAACAAACAAAACAAGCACTGAAAATAACTCGTTATATCATAGTTATTCAACAGATAAAACGACAAATAATGAAAATTAGTAGAAACAACAACTAAATTTAGGGGTTGGAAATGTATCTCTTTTACTCATTGTCAACACATTGCACATCATAAAATTGTCAAGTTCATTACATTTAGAGAGGGGTCCAGTGTTTAGCATTCCAGACTGTGGAGCTGAGAATCTGTGGTTTGTGTCCCATTATCACTGAAAAGGAAATCACGCTACTCACTTTGGGGTCATGGGTGAGTTATAAGAGTGATGGTCAACTCTCCTGGTATTCAGTATGACAGAAGCAGCCCAAGAGTTGACAGTGGGTTGTTGAATACTTGACATCTTTAGTCTATCACTTAAAAACAAGGGATGGCTAGCTGCACTAGCCATGTAGCTTTGCTTGAAATTCAACAAAACAAATGGTTAGAAAGAAAATCAAAATAATTTTTATCATAGTATTTAAAAAATCTGTGATATTGTTATTAGTCAATCAGTTCTTCATATCTAGTGAGATTAAAAATTAAAACATTAGCTAACAGTCGTTAGACACAGTGCTCTGCAGTTACTCATAAAAACGAATGGGTAGATATTATTAACACTTAACATTAAACCATCAGCTAACAATTATTGGACACATTGCTCTGAGATTATTGAAACTAATGGTCATATATAGTTAACACTCAAAAGAACAATAAAAACGTCATGTTGGGCAGCTTTTTTCAAAGATGTAGGAACCTTAAACTAAAGACAGACTTACAGCTTAACAAAGAACTTCAATTCAGTTTTTCAGGTGTCTTGCGTCACCAGCAACGTTGTGTAAAACATTAGTACATAACAGACACCAACTACACTGATGAGGAAAGTTTTGGAAGATATTCGATTAGCCGAACTGTTCTCACAGAAAGTACTCTGATATTTTTCTCATCCTGGTAATAAATGTTATAACTTTGATTTAACCTTTCCAAATTGAAAAGCTGAGGGAAAGCTTCAACAAATAAGCAAGCATAATAATAGGCTTAACTCATATTACTTACTCTTACTATGTAATCATATTTTCTAGCCTGTATGAGTCTTTCAAAACTTTTGTCAGCATTTCTGCTTATAAATGTAGAAATTAGTTTGTTTTACTTTACCATTTTACAGACCAGTTAAAGATTCCTGTCATCTAATTTGTTTTCTTAGGCAATCCATTTTAACATTGATTCTACCCACGTTTTACAGAGAACACAAGTTAAGAAAAGAGAACAACAATCTAAAATATAAGTTCACAAGGAGTAGAAACCATCTAAATTTTATCATTTAGTTCTTAGATCTTACTCCTGAATGGATGAAATATTAAAATCAGAATAATTTAAATATAATATTTCAAATCCAACAATATTTGGTACAGCTATATATATACAATATATGATGCAGTCCAGTATGTTCAACAGTGAGTTAAACAGCTGCATATAGCGCACACTATTGTCTGGTAATTCCAACAATATGTTTTAAACAGTAGTATACAGTGTATGTGAAAAAGCCTGAAAATTCCAACAGTGTTTTGAACAACTGTATATAATGTACATGACACAGCTGGTAATTTCAATGGCGTGTTTCAGACAGTTCTATACAATATACATGATAGGGCCTACTAATTCCAACAGCATGTTACAGCTTTATACAATGAACATGATACAGCTGATAGTTTCAAAAATTTATTACAGCTTATATATACAGTTTAAATGACACAGCCTAATTCTACAATCACTGGTAGACTAAATTTATGATCAACTGAAGAAGTCACTCATTTAAGAATAAATACAAAAAATAACTTTTTCGTGTTGCTTAGTATCCAGATTTCATAGAAATATGTTTCTTAGCTATTAACTTCATTGTTTTATATATTATACATGGGTTATAATTCACTTTTGAATCACTAAAACTATAGTATACTTCCCATATACAATGACAAAATGGTTATAAAAACTACTTGTCAATCTTTTATTTTCCTTTAATTATGTACACTTACTTCACCATTAGACATACATGTAGTTCTGTTTGCACTGCTAATGAACAATCATTATACAAACCACTCTTATGAACTAGAAATGTACATGAAAATCTACTTTATGATGTTGCATGGAACATCAGTTACCTTCCAATAGCAAACTACAATACACAATGTCAGAGTATCTGGACCACATCAAAAAAATATAACAATAATAAAACATTAAATATGAGTGAAATGGATATCCTGAAAACTTTTAATTATTATTTTTTGTAATAAGTTACACTAATTTCAAAACACAAAATCACTATAATCTGCCTGTAATATAATTCAACAATAAAACTATATATTTATCCGAAATTTTGTACTGAATAATCATTTCAAACTAAAAGTGAACTATTTTTTTCTTGGAAATAAAAACATGATAATTTGAAACTTAATATGTTTTAAAAACTGCAGCAGACTAACTGAGAAAACAACTTTGTTTTAATTATGTTTAATTAAAGTTATGTCCAGTTAAAATATCTAACAACTGTGACACTGAAATCAACTGGTATGGAAATTGATAATGCTCATTCTGCAATCTGAATAAACAATAAAAGTTAATATAACTAAAGCAGTAATATTAAATGCAATATTCCTTGCCATTCTATTTACTAAATTACCTTGTTCAGATTACAAAATGTTTTAGTAATATTATCTTCACTATTGCAAGACATTAAGTTTACTGCTGAAGAACAAACAACTATTATTCATCCTCATCATGTACTTCATCAACTAGTTCACCTAGATTTCTATGTACTGCAGCTTTGAAGGGAGAATCTTCATATTCCTGCCAAGAGGAGAAGTTGTGGAAAATGTTAAGAATCTCTGTCGGTGTTAAGTCCCCAAACTTAGTGAAAATTGTCATTCCTTCCATAATTAGTCTTGGTCCACAATGTGGTATCCACTTTCTAAATGATTAAAACACATAACAGTAGAAAACTTTAAGTTAAACTGGAACAATTTTCTGTCAATAGTAGTAGACAATACTTGATCAAAATTATAAAAAATGCAAAATTTATCTAAATCAACTAAAAGAAAACAACTACAATAACACAAAAAATACACTTGTTATGGTGTGTATGCCTTTTACAAGCCAGCAACGAATTATTACAATTTCACTTGTTATAAAACATTAATATTAGGCCTATTACATCTTTAAACACTACATTCTTAATCTATTCCCTTAAGGATTTTTGAAGAATTATAACAGTGTATAATAATAATAGTATTCCAACCACACTATATTTGTCATTTCCACTGCCAATGACACTTTTTCACTCAGTCCAGAGCTCTTCAGACTGGCTGGGAAACAACAAACACAGCAGTTGTTGAAATGCTATTTATATAAGCTATTATTTGGGAGGTGTATACACTGTAACATTTCTGTTGTATTCACTATTACATTTGTTGTATCCCAGCTGGCCTGAAGAGCTTGGATTAAGAAAAACATTGTTGGCAATGGTTATGAATATGTGGTTCATATACTATTATTATACACTCTTCTAATTCTTTAAAAATCCCTAAGAGAGTAGATTAAGAATGTAGTGTTTAAAGACGTAATAGGTCTAATACTAATGCCTTATGACAAGTAAATTTATAGAAAAAAACACTGCTGTGTTGGTTTCTATTAAATATATATAAAGAATACCATTAAAATTGTACTAAAAATACTGGTCTAAAAAGTCTTAACTAACATTATTCTGGAAGACAGTGTGAAATTCACATCTATCCTTAGTTTCTTTTTACAGATGTTAAACACTAGTAATTCTGTATGTTCTTTCATGCCAATTGAACTTTTATTTTTTTATAGAAATAAATTTTAGCATTTATGTTTAGAACAATAACATATAAAAATTCTTAAGGATGCACACTGCCCTTTGAAGTCACGATTTTTTGACAAAGTGGAAACTCAGACTCAAATAGATTAAACCATAAACTTGCACGGTTATATGTTCAAATTCTGCCTGGTCTCATTTTACATTTCTTTAGAACTTTTATTTAATATTCTTTAATCATTCAAAAGGATTTTTCTAGTACATGTAATTTTCTTCTTAATGTTTTTCTAAGGTTCACATTTACCAGTAAGATCTTTGTGAAGTTTACACCATAATGAACAATCAATGTTGTAATTCTCAAATGATACACGATTATTTTTAGGATTTTTCTAATGTTAACTAAATGTTCACGGGGTCAGTGCATTGGATCAACCACTTATTGAAGAAGAAATGTTGATTATAACTCTGAACGTACTAAGCGTATCTACAGAAAAAAATCAAATGTGTTACAAAAGTATATGAACTCAAAATGTATGTGTGAATTTACAATGTCAGTCTGATTCAGACAAGTCTCAGTGTAAAGTGATGCTCATGTGAAGAATGAACTACTTTTGCCCATTGTACATTTTACATATTTCATAACCACTAGGACCTCAAAATGCGTATCTCCAGCTTTTTTTCAGTATCCCTGTATATTGCACCAATTATTTACTCTCTTCTACCACAAAAATTAACATTTTTCTTACACTGAAAATGTATTTCCAATAGGTACTTACCTCTCTCACACAAAACTATTTCAATCTTCATCTGCCCTCTAAGCATTGCTAAAATTTTTTTGCAATCATTGCACCAGTCTATATATATTCCATCAGTTTTGCACCATTCCTGAACATGTCCATATCATGTGACAACTTCCACCATTGTGCCACCTATATTGGAGCAGCTAACACACTGCTATTCCTGCTCAATCCTCACTTTCAAGAATTGGCAGGCTCTAAAAGAAGAACACCAGACGTGGGGAGGAAAGGTCGGAAGTGTGTGAGAGGAGGTAAGTACCTATTGGAAATATATTTTCAGTGTAAGAAAAATTTTAACTTTTGATATGGTGTTACCTCCACTTACAAAAAGTAAAAATCCCACACTGCAAAGGTGGAGGGGCCACTTTAGGCACATAACATAGAAACCAAGTGGAAAGTGACCACCCAGAATGTACGGTGTGCTTGAAGATGAAAACAAAGGACACTTGTGGGGAAGTGCACTACTTCTGGAACAGGTATGCTCTTTCCCCAAGAAGTAAGAAATTAATCAGAAATGGGCAGAAAAGGAAATTACTTGCACAAGCATAATATGTTCTGAGAGGTGCAAGCTGTAGCAAAATATAAACAGAATTAGCTGTGTACATTCCCAACCTCAACCGGACAGATGAGGTTCCATAACTCATCCTTGGCATTAGGAGATTAAGGATAGAAAAAAAATTGTAACATCAACAGTGTGACTAGGGCATGTGGACCAAGTTATATACCTATCAATCCCAACTGTAAGTAAACAGAGTGCAATACACTGAGCAACCAAAATTACAAAGAAAAAGTTAGCTTTCAGTCAAAACAGGACAAACAACCATAGAAGCAAGAAGTACAACAAAGCAAACCTTACAGGGTCATGATGTGGCCTCAACTCAACTGTAAGGACAGGATAATAGCTGTAACCAGTATTATGGGCAAAATCATAACTCATTCATCCACTAATGCAGGGAAGAGACATCCTGCATCCAGAATTATGAGAAGGACATGGAACATTTGCCCAACCATAGATTGAAAATTATTGATATCTAGTACATATATACCACTGAGTAAGCCATCAGTGGTCTTGCAGAAACACCCCATTTCTACATTGAGCATTATATTACAAACAGTAAATAGTGCGGGTTTGAGGCAAAGCAGACCTGACCAGGCAACACTTGCCACAGAGTAGAATACCTGTAGCAGTGGTTAAAACTATGGTTGATGACAGAAGACATAAATGAAAGGAAGTGATAAGACTTACCCTAGTCAAACGTGAACAGACGTGTGTAGAATCGCCATGGGAGGGAGACGATATCTAGCAGAAGAAGATAAAGTCAGATCATGCAGATAATGAGCGATGAAAGTATTGGATAATCTCCAATGGATTGTGAAGGAGAGAAGCCAAAGACATGGTCATATGACAAATATGATCAGAAGAAACATTGTGGAGACGGCGATTTTACATGGATAAGTCCAAATGGGCCAGCCTGACGAGTTGACCAACCCAACCAGTTAACATGACAGGGGATAGATCATGGGAAATGGAAGGGTTCCAGGGAATAAAAGTTAGGAACTTGAACCCCCAAAAGAAAGCAGGATGTGCCACATAACACTGTAAGTGAACCAGACAAGGATCGAAATAGGAGTACTGGTGGGAGATGGAAGTTAAGTAAATGGATCTAAAAGCCAAACAGCATTCACGGGTAGTATAGGTCTGAGGGCCACAAAAAGAGAGTCCAAACTGTATCCCCATTGATTGTATTCTTCCTCAGAAACATTATGTTGGAAAGAAGAAGAAATCGCTGACTGGACATATGAATCTAGCTCCCTGTGAAATAAGGCGTGTATCTCCTCTACAGATAAAGTCAAACCCGATTCCTGGAAAGTCGTACCAGTAACATTTTCGACTGTAACAAGAATTTCCATGGTCGATATGTTGATCACAAATTCATACTAAGACCTCTTGTAATTTGGTAATGAGAAATAAATGCAAAACAATTGTTGAAACAAGTGAATGCAAATACAGTAAAATAAAACTGTTGAAAAAAAATTGAAATGGCAAAGAAGCACATTCATAATTGGTAGCCACATGTGAAAAAAACTCATGTATAAACAATGCTGTGCCAATCAAGAAAGTGAAGAATGAGCAGAAATAGTAGAAGGAGCTAGCTGCACCAACACAGGTGGTGCAGTGCTATTGGTGGGAAGTAGTCACATGATATGTACATGTTCAGAAATGGCATGAAATTGATGGGGTATATTGACTGGTGCACTGATCATGAAAATTTTATAGCAATGCTTAGAGGGCAGATGAAGATCAAGATAGCTTTGTGTAAGTAAGGTAAGACCTTATCAGAATGTTGCTAAATCAGCAAGGCAGTGTAAAATGAATAGGTGATAACTCTCAAATTAAATATACAATATCATGTTGAATGGCTCTCTGTAAAAGGTCATGGCATGTGCACTTTGATCCCTACCCATAGGTTTAATAACTAGAAGCTTCTGAGTATTTTATGTGGATAAATATAAACATAACTCAAAAAATAAAAATAAAAAACTTGAAAAATTTACAGCATATTTCTCTGAACTAAACTGTGACAGGAAGAAGCTTATTTTGCTGTAAAAGCACACCACTTGACCTTTTGAAGCAGTTTAATTTTACAAAAATTATCACTAAATATCCCCCCTACCAAAAAAAAAAATTTTTTACTTACTCTAATGTTGGTATTACTAAGCTATTTCTTTTCATCAAGTGTTGTTTGACAAAAAAGAACAAATCTGGTAACTTCTCTGGTGGTCCTACAGTTTCAAAAAGATTTATATGTGGTGTTAGCTTCATCAGGTACAGGTTTTCTGTATCATACATTACCTAGTGAGAAAGTGAATACAAGTTTCAGCAAGAAGTGCATTTTTCTTGTAATAACACATAATAACTCAATTTTCAGACACACACACACAAGAATGAATATTAAAACATTCTCGCTTAACTACAATGATCTCTAAACCATCCAATCATACAAGCTAAACTGGTAGTTATTATTGAAACACTCTCCTTATATGGACCTGGTGCTTTGAATTCTTATTGAACACATTAGTGGTATATGTCACATGTTCATAAGGGTCTTTGGTTGCATAATATGGCTAGCACCACAGTAAAAGCGACAGGTGAAATGGGAGTTAATGTGGGAGAAAACAATAGTAACTAAGATATGAAATATGTATCACATAGATTACTATCTTGGCTATCAAATATGAAGCTAACTACATTAAAATAAACTGTAAGCCTCATAATATATGTGTACCTCTAGACCACCCTGTAAAGGTTTTGTACTGGAGTATCCCCACCCATTGCTAAACCTGTGAATAAAAATGCATCTTTTGGTTGCAGGATGGTTAGGTTGTAAAAGTTCATTAAACACTAATAATTTATTTGGAAAGCCAACTAAACATCATTTTGATAAGAAGTTTTATATTACATCCATTCATCTGTTCAGTATGTTTTACAATTTTGTAGGTCTTTTACAAATTATTTTAGAAACTTTAATATGTGTCTTTTTAATATTCACATAAAAAAACAAAAGAAAAACAAGCATTTGTTTACATATTGATGTCTCTTTCCATCCGTTAAAAATGAAATATATTTTTGAACTAATCTAGTAGTAAAAAATTAACCTAATAAATGGCATATTATTAGTCATATAAGTATTTTAAAATACAGAATGTTAAAATCCAAAATGCAATGCTTTTCATATCTCTACCAGGAAAACTCTGCAAGTTCATACCACTTAGAAAACCTGAAATTTCTTCAAGATTCATAATTTTCTGTCATGATCATTAATTATGGGAGGTTATTAAACTAACCCAACTATCTTATCCAGGCCAGAGATCAGTATATTATCTGCTGTGTTCTTTGAACACATTAATCCACTTCTACAAATCATATTGCTTTATGCAACATTAATTACCACTACGTGTAAATTATGAACAGCAGTAATATTTAGCAGACTATGAATCTTAAGTTCTGTACAACTGAAACACACACTTTCAATATTTCTAACATGAAATATGTAATCCAATGTACATAACTATAGACCATATCACTATCTACAACTACTACTAGAATGCTATATTTTCTAACCAAATTAAAGTCATTGAAATATTATTATAATTTAAACTACTGTCTTATTTCATTTTTTTTAATCTGAAGTTCAGCTGAACTGTGTCTAAAACCACCAGGTCAATACATGTTATTCTAATGACTAAATATATATACTACATTGCTATATTAAGTGTACTAGTAATCTTAATGCATATATCAATTACACCATAACCTGAAGTTTTTCTATGTTAGAAACATGTACTTAAGTTTCAAAGTCAGACACTGTGTTTCTGTATTATACTGGATATCTACTAGCAGAGAGTGATACTTTATGATGATACCTAATATCTTCTTATATTTTGAACTTTCTGCTTGTTAATGGTGTTTTTAGATACTCCTGCTTGCTAATTATTACAGATAAGTTTAGAACTGATCCCATCATAAACTAATGTAACACTTACCTTTGATAACACTTTTAGGTTTTCTAGTCAATATGTTACAACAATTAAAAGTTTTTGTACATATGCACTGAATAAAAACTCCATTACAGGGATTTATAACACAAAAAAAATGTTTAGATTATTTTATAAGCTAAGGAAGAGGAGAAATTATATTACTGTAGTATTTTCTATGTGATGATAATTTTTTTTTATAATTATATCCTTCCTTAAAGGTATAACATTTTTTTAAAGTATGGTATATTTATAAACACTAAGGTTATTCCATAATTGATGATAAAATGAGTCATCATACTGGAAAAATATTCATAATTCAGTGTCTGAAACTATGTAAGGCATGGTTTATTCTTTCTTTTTTTAAACATAATTGCAGTCATATTTTCTGTATCAGTTAACATCCACAGATGCATAAATAAATATTAAAACTATTTTTATGAATCTTTCCATGGACTTATGTTAACTTTTTTATTACAGCTACTATTACATAACACAATCCAAAATATTAATTAGTGTGAACATATTATATTGGCAATAATAACTGTCTTGTAAACCTTACTTAGAGCAAACAGCTCTCCATACTTTCTATCCATGCAGGTAATATGGTCTAAAGTATATCTTATTACCTAAATAATTATTATAGTATACATAATTTTATTATTGTACCTTTTTAAAGCTCTTTGCTTTTGTTTGGCTTTTGAATGGTGGCAGGAAATAATTTCTTGGAATCTTTAAAAAATAAAAATAAAATTAAGCTCTGTCAAAACATTTTACCAGTAAATACTGAGTAAGAAAAAAAAATTGTTCTTCATAGGACAAAAAATTAATCGGGCTATAAAGTGACCTACATTAAAAATACATCAAAATATAATTTAATGTTTTACTGATTTTATTATAAACCTCGTAGCTATGTACAAAATTTCACATCTGCAGTTTAAGAGAGTATACATATACATCACTTTTATTGAATTGTTTTATTATTATTTAGTAGCAAAATGAGAATGATATAACACCACAATAATACTGATAATAATTTATGTCATATCACTATATATAAGAGTTCTCACAAAGACAGTACCTAATAGTATTTCAATATACCTTGTCCCTTGTATAAGGCTGCCAAAAACCCCTTTTTCTCAACACCAGAGCTCATCAGGCTTGCTGGGTTACAATGTAAAAAATCTTAGTCAAAGCACTATTCATGTCAGTAGTTTGTGAGACAACAATTGAAGTTATATATACAGTCTTTTTACTGAAAACCCAGACTTGGCCATTATTACCACTGCCACCAAAGGTGACAGAGGTTATGTTTTAGCCCCTGTGTATTTGTCAGCAATATTTCTAGAGAACTGCTGAATAGAGTTGGATAAAACTTGGAGTACATTTGGACTATGACCCAACTTAGAAATGATTAGTTTTTGGAGGGGAGGGGCAAAGTCACGAAAATCCAAAAAATTCTTGTTAACATAGGGCCTGATTTTTCATGCTAATTTTGCTCTATAACTCAATCAACAATTATCAGATTTTGATGAAATTTGGTGGACATATGTAGAACATTATTCCTCATTGTTCTGCCAAAATGGTCCATGTACATTGATAATGATGGACAGACAGACACATTTTCGTACTGTTTGCAAGCTGAGTATGATCAACGCTGCGTGGCAGAGGTATGTGCTTTTCTGAGTGCCCCTCTAGTTACTAATGTTTATTAATCTCTTTAGGGTTTTGTCAAAAACCATAAGTTACCAAACTAAGTCATATCATGCCAGATATCAAACCTCAGCTTATCAATGTTTTTGTACCATTCATTACTGATTGGGGGTCCAAATATTGCATTATATTGACTAATGTTATGATTTTGCTCGTTAAAACATTCAGTGTAGAGAACTAATTTTCTATGTAAGTTAGACAAGGGACCCTAACTCTACTTAGTAGGACTAATTAAGATAATGATGGTATTTTTGATTAAATTCTTTCTCTGGGACTCCTATGTTAATAGGGACCCTGTAACCCACAAGCAAGTTAGTACACAAATATTTAGAAAAAAAAGTTTAAAAAGCTAATAAAGTTGATTCTTATGCAATTTCTATAATTTAGAAATAGGGAACAATGAAAAATAAGCATTTCTTGAATTCAACATTTAAAAAAATTAACAGTCGCTCTATAATAAAAAAAATTATATAAATAAGAAAATTTAAACTACGTGCACTTTAGATAGATAAAATGTATTGAATATTCCTCTATAAAGTCAGTTCTGGGATGAAATTTATCTACTTTAAGAATTTATATTTTTGCTAATTATCATAAAAAATTGAATTTTTCAAAACAAAAGTATAGACCCTTTACTGACCCTTCTACTAGATTTCTCTAGACTGGTGATTCATCTAATGTAAGTATTTTGTTATTATTTAATAAAAAATTTTTATTGTTAAACAATGCTTGCAATAAAAAGTTTATTTGTCCAAAAAGAAAAACAAAACAGGATTTACAAACCAATATATAACTGCTTCTGTTTGTTTAAACAGAAGACAACCATACAGTTTTCTTAAACCAAAAAGTACTCACTAACAATGGATTTTCCAAATAATCATTATACTTACATTCAAGAGTATGGGATTTACGTAGTATTTACCTTTTGCATATAGATACATGCAAGTTAACTGCTTAATCATGAAGTTCAAAGTTGATTTGATGTTTATTGAATAATTCCAACTGTGATGTAGGTACATTTACACATCTCAGTTTGATAACACTCTACTATTTTGATTAGTTGGCCAACAAGTTAAGGTGGTATCAGGTATAGCAACCAACTCCACATTGCAATTTAACAAAGGTGCGACTTAATGAAAATTAATAAAACTGTTAATGTGACTGATATTTAAAACAATTAAACCTCATATTTCATTTGTTTAGATCAGTCTTCAGTAGATATTATAAACTTCAAGGAAAATATCAAATCTTCATTTCATAGTATCAGTCTTCGTTTAGAAGTGAAAGAATTTATTAACAATTATTATTGGGCTTAACTATATTACTTATGTAAAGTAATGACTATTTCTAATCTTTTAGTCACAAAAAAAACTATCAATAACTATTTTATTTTCTACAGCAAAAGTGTATTATGCAGGACTACAAAATGTTTAAGCATAAAATATATTTAGGGTAGTAATAACTGACTACTATATAGGAATAATCATAAATCATATTCTACACATTTTTAGTTTTTCAGGACAAAATGTACGTGTAAATCTGTAAAACTAGGGTCATCCCTCTACAAGCTCATGATTCATCAAGTAGCTTCTATTTTCATCTAAACCATAGCTGAATAAATCTGTATACCTGAAATATAGCTTGTAGGAAAAACATTAATGATTTCCTGTGAGTATACACCTTTTAATTTTACATGGTGAGCATTTAACCACCTTTCATTTTCCAAAATAGAATTTTCTTTCCAGTCTTTAATCATAGTGATAAATAATCACATGAAAATAATAAAGACAATAACATGAACTTACTTCATCCCTCTTTTAACATTTATACTACCTCTATTTATGTTATTACACCTCTGGAAATTGTCATGATATCAAAGCTATTTGCTTATTACACTTCTAGAAACTATGACAGTATTACGTTTACCTGTTTATATAATCTCTAGCAATTCTCATGATACCACATATGTTTACTCATTATCTGTTTAGTAAGTACCACGATGCTACATCTCCTTACTTAATACATTTCTAAGAACTAAAATGGTATCATGTATATTTTTTTACTCTTCCTCTAGAATTTACTAGGATATTACACCTATTTGCCTAATCCCTCTTTAGTAAGTACCATGACAATACATTTATGTACTTATTACATTTCTAGGAACTATCATGTTACTATGTCTATCTGTTTATTTAATCTTTAGATTTTTTGTTTTAGAGCAAAGCCAAACTGGGTTATCTGCTGTGTCTACCTCAGAGAACTGAACCCCGGATTTTAGCATTTTAAGTCCAGACTTACTGTTGTAACACTTGAGGACCTTAATTTTTAGAAAGTAACATGAAATTATATATCTTTGTTTATTTTCAGAAAATACAATAATAGGGTACTACATCTATCTGCTTATTTCTTCCCAAGAAATGACTATGATGCTTCATTCATTTACTTAGTCCCTCTCTAGGAACTACCATGGTATTACTTTATTTACCCATTCTTTCTCTCTTTATGAATTATCATAGTCGTTCCTACATGTAAGAAAAAAACTTGTAACTTTAAACATACTTTGTTCAATAGCTCCATATCAAAGAAGAGGTTGTATAATACCGTAGAACTCCGATACTTCATGTAGTTGTCTCCAGCTGAGGCAGTCATGTACTGTTAATAGAAAGCCTTAAGTTTACATGATTCTTTAATCATCTTAAACTACTTCAGCCTTATCAAACATATCTTACTATATGATACAAAAAGCCTATGTGATAATTAGGAATAACTCTTATTTAGTGAATCTTATCTCTCTCTACATAAAAGCTGATATCTAAACTTCAAGTGTAAAACTAAGTGTATATTTCTTATTTGGATTTAATACAACTTGAATCAGGTTTTATTATCTACATACTAAACATACCTTTAACACATCAAATTAATAGTTATTTTGTTGTTTGTTCAATATTATGTTTTGCAATGCGTTTAAATTTGGTTTAATTTAGTCAAAATTTATTGTACTTTTCAATTGCTAATGACTGTTTTGCAGTACTTTGATATTTTATTATTATGTTGCTTTAAGATGCATCTCTTTCTAGCCATTTGAGCACTCTCCTGATTTCTAACTATCAAGAGTTAACATGTATTAGGTCGTCAAGAAATTAATGTCATGTTTTGGAACACTTTCAT